AAGTGGAAATATTTTTTATATTTTTTACTATTTACGGTGACGTAATCACTTGAATGCCGGCATAGATAAGACATGCCAAACGTGACATTATACATCCTAAGCTATACTCACCTTTACGCAACGTTTCCATAATTCTAAAGAACTCGTAAGAAAGCTACTGTTGCTAGAATGCACATACATATACGAATAGGCTATATACGTGCACTAGAATACATATGTTCACAATAGACAACACAAACAACAAATGTCATGGATTATATAGGAGTCGAACCTATAGGTATTGCGTCGCATCGTACCTGTGTGTATCGGGTGACGACCGGTCAAGATAGCGCTGCGTGTCGGAGTACAGATGGGTGACACGTAGTAGTTATTGAGTATAATTCCGTCGTAGGCAAGCGCATCAATGTTGGGCGTCGGGATCTGACCCGACCCATGAAAGCTAACATCGTTCCAACCCTGAAAGACGTTTGCCGGTGAATGGTTTTGTGATAAGTGATAAAAAACTGTGAATAACTACTTGTAATAAAGACTCCTGAATAAAATATCAACACACGCCCATCCGCGCTACTTCATTCAATAAGCAAATTTCAACTGTGCATGCTCAGTGAACTGCATTTCGTAGTTATGTCCTAATTTTTGGTTACCACACATATTTATGCTAAGCTGTAAAGTCAGCACTGTAAAACGTTTAATCAGATTATGAGCACACCAAAAATTAGCTCTAGAACTAACCAAAAATATGTTTAGGTAGCCAAAAAAAGAAGCACACTTCTTGAATAGGAAATTGGCAATTTAGATAAGCAGCTCCTTTACTGGCAGTAATTTTAGTCCCTTATCTACAAGATCACGAACATATATGTAATCAAACTGTGAGACATTCAAAAATAAATAACGATATATTTACTAAATCATCAGCAAGGATGAATATAATATGTGGAGGTTGCTTCTGAGCTTCCACTGTTGCAGTCAGTGCGAGCAGAAGCGCAATCATTCCCCGCATCACCATGGCGACAGATCAAGCCAGGGTTCTGGAAAAGGTGGTTTCAAGTTAAAAACTCCAATTCTGTTTTGTGATGTGTTCTGTTGTAGTATGTTGCAGTATCCAAAATTGGCATCGAGGCAACGGAATCGGGAGAGGGCTAATTATTTTAGAATTGATGTTGGCTGAGCTTAGATGTAAATTGCTCAGCACTGTCCGCAGTTACTATGTGGTCACCCAGGTGGTTCCACTCTATCAATGTGCGGACAAAGAAGGAATTCTTGTACTGGTCAATTTTGTACGCTGGTACGTTGAATCCTTTTGAGTTCAGACGGATGGAACGTTCGTTGATGGGAGCACTGATAAACTCCTCCTTGTTGTATCTGCTAGGTGGTCGCACTCGTCTTTTGCCGGTTTGAACTGGTTGTAGAAAATCTGACGGGGGCATTGCTGGTAGCAACCTTCCGATGATTCTGTAGAGATAGGTTAGTCGCATATCACGGCGGCGGTTTTGGAGGCTTTCCAGCTGTAAAGACGATAGCATGTCTGTAACACAGCCTGGAGTTCTGCTGTGGTAGTCCCCTGTGATGAAGCGGGCTGCACGGTGTTGTATCTTTTCTAGTCGGTCTATATCCTGTCGCTGGTATAGGTCCCATATTATTGCACCATACTCCATTATGGGTCGTACTAGGCTGAGATATACAATACGCTTGGTTTGCTGTGGACTCTTCCGTAAGTTTCTCCGCAGGAAGCCGAGAGTAGATGATGCTTTCTTGGTAGTGCTTGAGAAGTGGTTGTACCATTTGAGGTCATTGACCAGCTGAACACCTAGGTATGGATTGGTCTCCACAGTCTTGAGTATTTCGCCACAGAGGCTGTACATATACTATAAGACTTGTTCCTAATGCTCAGGATATGACACTTTTTTGCATTGAACTGCATCCCCCCGTTTTTTGACCAGCATTCCAGAGATGTGAGGTCGTCCTGCAATTTTATATGGTCTGCGATGTTTCTGATTGTGCGATAGAGAAGACAATCATCGGCAAATAAACGGACTTGGGAGTTTACGCTCAGTGGTAGGTCGTTTATCTGACAGAGGAAAAGCAATGGGCCCAGTACCGTGCCCTGGGGCACTCCTGATTTCACATGTACTTCCTCTGACACTTCTCCATTAAGTACTACTCTCATATAGTCCGGTCCATTAGAAAGTTTGATAGCCACTGGTGTGTGGGGCCTCTGACACCGTACCGATTGACTTTGGCCAGTAATTGGCAATGGGGTACGGTGTCAAATGCCTTGCTAAAGTCGAGAACAGCAATGTCCACTTGAGCTCCATTGTCAAAATCTGTGAGTATATGTCATTGGTTGTTGTCAACAGCTGTGACTCACAGGAGAAACCGGAACGGAACCCATGGTTTAGGTCAGTCAGTATGCGGTGATGCTGGAGATGCTGTCGCATGTGGTGGCTGATGATGTGTTCGAGGATTTTGCATGGGACTGACGTTAACGATATCGGGCGATAGTTCTCCGCTAGGTGACGGTCACCTTTCTTAAAGATGCTGGCGACATTTGCTGTTCTCCAATAGGATTTGCACCTAGTATACTAGTCTATAGCCCACAGGTACTTGCCACTTGGGCTGCCAGGGTCTATGACTCTATCTCCCTGGGTACGCCGTACGGTCCGGTATACCGGAACGTACCCTGGTACTATCTAATATGCCGGACCGTACCTCGCCTACTCCACTAGCTAACGAGTAGTACAATAGGAGTGTAGGGAGTCGCCTACGCCTACTCCCTAACCATATCAGATGGAGATAGTTACCAGGTAGATACAATAATGTAACCCAAACGAAAGAGGATAGGGGTTAGGGGGATAGGGGGTAGGAGGATAGGGGATAGGGATAGGGGGCCCATAACCCTATCCTCTTGGGTTTGGGTTACATTATTGTATCTAGTTACCAGGGTACCCAGGGAGACATAGACCCCGGCCTCATCACTATCACTATCAGCGCCACTGGCACTCACTGGCAGCAAGAACAAGTCCGCACCAGCTACAGCACACACGCCGCCATTCACTATAATAACAACTTGTTTGTATTATAGTGAATGGCGGCGTGTGTGCTGTGTTCATGCTGCCAGTGCTGGCACGTGGAACGTTTCAATAAAAAATAACTATGGTAAATAAACACGAAATGTATTTACTACAAAGTCTCAATGTTTCTCTACTACTGTTTGCCTATTATTGCCGATAATTTCCTGTAAATGCCGTTCAAATGCTCCTCAGCTGCTACACACTGGTTACAACCAATGACCAAAGACCAATTCCAAGGACCACAATGTAAATAAGTGTGCTAGTCATGCTTTTTGTGAATATATCCTTGGTAATTATCCAATTTTATGAATTCAAATTTTTATTGTAAAAGTATGCAATGTATTGTATATGATGGATAATTGCCTAAATAAATAAATAAATAAATAAAAAAATAAAAAACCACAACTTACAAATATAATTCTTGTCGAAAGGGGGCGCAGTTTTCATTTCAATGGCGAACGTCTAATAACAACTGCGGAGTGATTGCGTTTGCGTAGGAAAACTTTCCTTGGTACGTGTTAGCTGGATTATGATATCGGGTGGCACACATCAACTTTATTACGATTTTAGCGTGTTTGTCTAATTTAGTTTGTTTAGCGAAAATCTCGATGATCCATTTATAACCTAGTTAAAAGTTTACTAACCTGCCACCGGTTTTATTGTGTTACTGGCTACTGCACTTGTGGTGGTAGTGTAGCCCGCCGTAGGGACTGTAGCCACAAGTTTACTTTTCGCTTAACACTACGTGGTGCCACGTCCTACGACGGAGAGCCTGGTCGGTTTAGTGGTAGTGGTACTGAGTCACGTGAGTGTTGTTTGTTAGTCACACTCACAGGCACTTGGAGCGTTTCAATAAAATATAATGCTAAATAAATACGAAATCTATTTATATATTTTTCTCAATTTATCGCTCCTTCCCTTTTTCCCCTTTTCCACGTCAGTTCTTTTTTACCTTACAACACGATTAGAGTCTGCCAGTTTTTGGTAGACATTGCATTGTACACATTTTATTAAAAAAAAATTTCAACGGGCAATTCAATTTTTTCCTGGCACTATTTGAGGGCACTAATAAATCAATCCTTTCCAATAAATCATCGTGAGCAGTAATCTACTGGGGACACCAAAGGACTAAAATACTTCTTACAAAATCTTGCTAGACCATTTGTTCTTCACTGCGACCCAGTGAGATCCACTACCTATCTACAAAGACGAAGAAGTTTGACGCTTTGCTGCCGTGTTGTGTGTGAAACGAGAGAGAGGAGCGAGAGAAGACGGTATTTGAAAGCAGGGCTCGAATGTAACCAGACACGCCCTCGGCTATTTTTTTTTGCACGTCGCGGAATGCCACCTAATCAAATTTGCCGTACTGACCTCCTTAGCTGAAAACTCCAATTATTTTCTCGTAGGGGATAGGGCCGCGACTCGGCAGTCACCTGCGCTTGCCTTTCCTGTGTAATTTGCCGTCGGGTGCCTTTAATCTTACTGCTCCTGTTCGTTTTTAGTCGAATCAATCATACACGTGCGCGATGTGCTGCTGTATGTTGCAATGATGAGCTTGCAAAACGATAGCGACAGGAGGGCGAATAATTAACAGCAGTCAGTATTATTCACTCCTGATAGCGGGGCATGTAAAATTTCTTGTTACTGTACTTCATTAGCAGAGGGCCGGTAACAGGGGTCAGTGTTACGTGTGTAAGCTTAAATGAGGGCGCATATTGTTTTGTACATTAAAAGCGAAGACGATGTTGATAGACTATAATATTGTTATGAGGTTTTTTTCCTTTATTTTACAAAAAGTGCCTTTGCGCTTGCCTGCTTCCAAATTTTGAG